GTGCCCATCACGGGCTGCTGCCAGGGCCGCATGGGCAACCAGGCGTACTTGATGCCGGGCCGCCGCAAGGCGCCCATTAATAAATGATGTGACCCATCGGAGCAAGCATGGTCCTATAAGCAGGAGCAAGAACAAGGAGCATAGGGTAGCAAGGGTAGCACATAGGGGAGAAAGCCGTTCCAGGCCCCCAAAAAGGGATTGTCCTGCAGTTCTTTTAGGGCTCATCTTGTTGTTGGGTCTGCAGTTGGCCTCTGGTGGAACAGGCCTGATCTTCAGTCGAGGGACTTGTCGCACGCGTCAACCTCTCTGGGACCCACAGTGGTTCTCGTCCCGGTCCCTGCGGAAAGACACAAACCGCGCCTCGGTTCCAGCTAACCACCGGATCCGGGCCCATCCATTGTCCCATCAGGACATCTTTCCATCTAACCCATCGTTTATTTTTTGGGGATGGGGTACAATGTGCCATAGCTGGGGAGCAATTTTCACTGTTTAAGTTTAAAAAATTGTATGTGAATAATGCCATAGATAACTGCGCCTTTGGAGGTAGGCCTTGGCTTACTCCCCCTTTTTGTTTTTTATTTTATTTTATTTTTATTTTATTATTATTATTTTTTTTGGTCTTTTTCGTTTTTTTTAATTAATTAATTAATTAATTTATTTATTTATTTATTTTTTATCGGTACCAGGGATCGAACTCGCGATTGCCTGCTTACAAGGCAGGCGCTTATGCCGCTGAGCTAAATCCCCAGCCCCTGTTTCCTTGACCGGCGTTTCTCTCAGCCTGCTCAGCAGAGAACTCTGCGTACCATGCTCGCCAGTCTAAGTAGCTGCCTGAGCGTAGACATGCTTTTGCCAACTGGGTCCAGTCCGCTGGGGTGAGCGGCCCAGAAGACAAGTTTTCTAGCATAGCTATGGTATAGGGTGCAGTAGGACTGAAGGAAGTGACAGCACTCTTAAGCTCTCTGATCTGCTTTATCTCAAAGGGTTCCCAAACATTGCGCCCTTGACCCGGGGCCATTTGCACAGGATATACTCTATAAGGACCGTAATCTATTCCTTGCATCGGTGGATCCCCTCCGGACCATCGTTCACCCCTCCATAGCCGCCCATGAAAATACCGTCCGCCCTGCGGCGCGACGTCATAGGATGGCGGTCGCGACAGAGTGGAACGGGGCGTCACTTCCTGTGCCGGCTGAGAGAAGGGGGGGTCCCCTGTAGCGGCCTCTCGGCGGGGAACCGCTTCTGGAAGTGAACTCCAGGGCGGAGCGGATGGCTCTCTATCTCCTCCCCGCAAGGGGGCGCTCGGGGGTCCTTTCTCCTCTCTTTGCTTTTCTCGAGCGGCGCACGCACACAATTCGCGGCGCAACTCGGCATAGGGGCTTCGGGCCTCTCGGCTTCCTGTCCCACCTTCTAGTTCCTCCTGGCTATCTGAGTCGGAGGACTCCAGAGCTTGGGTGTTCTCTATCTTTCCCTGGATCTTCTCCCCCTGGACAGACCCCTCCCGAGAGCATTCCGATTTTGCCTGCTCAAAAGCCTTGCGTGCGTCCATGATTTCCGCATCTCTAACTGCCGACGGGAACCCCTTCCCCTCCCCTTCAAGACACGCATGTATCATTTCCCACAGGGGGCGAATAGCCAGCGAAATATCGCCTCCCAATTCCGCCGAGGCGAGGTCCCCACCTAACTTCTCCCATGACGGCAGGTTTAAATGCCCTGTGGGTAAAAACCAGGGAGCCACCCTATCTACCTCCGCTATGGATAGTTCCAGTGTTTTTTGACCTACCCTGAGGTCTCTAGATTTTAAAAGCTTTCTAAGGGCCTTTACCAAGGGCCGTGCCTCTGTGCTCGGTAAATTACCCATCCTCAACCTCTGAGGGCTGTTACTCACCGCGTGTGACTTAGAGAACCCGTCACCTACGCGTGAGCCTGAGGGGAGTCTAAAAGCCCTGTAGGTGCGCGCCACCCAGAGCCCAGGTTTATCCCCTACTCACCTGTCCGGCAGCACCGCGCTGGAGCGTTGCACACCACCGAGGGGAGTGATCAGTTCCCCGTATGGGCCACCAGATGTCGGTGTCGCTCCCGGCCGGCAGGAAGAACACACGACAGATTCTGACGGTGTGCAACCTTGTCTTTATTTGTCTCCGCGTGGGCTGCGCGAGGCCTCTGCTCTGCCACCAGTCCTTTCTCACCGGTGGACTTCCTCTATCTCTCTCTGTGCTTCTCTCTCGTGGCGGGAGAGGCACTCACTTTTATAGGGTAACAGTGGCCAATCAGTTCAAAGCGCGTGATGCGGGCTGATTGGCTAACATCAGTTGTTGCTAGGCAGACTATCTTACAGAGCGGGTTGTTTAAGTTGCCAGGGCAATCAGGGGGCAGGAAGCAGGCGCCAACTTGGCTCACTCGATGGGAGGGGTAATCTAGCTCAGGCTTTGCTCTTTCTTACAGGCCTCACGTCCGCCAAGTAAGGCGACCGGGCTCGGCCGCGGCTCCCAACACTTGAGGATGCAACTCATTTGCTGAGCTCAGAGGCACCATAAAGATGAGCTCAAAAGCACAGCCCTTTCTGCCTGACACTGCACAGGAACTAGCTTGAAGGTCCTGAGGGACAGGGCCTAACCTGACCCTTCCAACATCTCAAGCTGTCAGGTGCTGGGCATGGCTGCTGAGGCAGCATCTCCCTATAATAATCCCCAAATGCCACCTCCCACTATCACAGGGACCCATGGGTGAGGAATGAACAGGGGAAAGGAAAGAAGGAAATACTTTTCAAAAGCCCAGTGTGTGCCAGATATGACATCAGATATTTTCACATTAGCTTGCTTAGTCCTCCAAACGACTATGAAGGATAAATGATACTATTTTTTGTTTGAATAATGAGAAAACTGTGACATTGACTTGAGTTATTAAAGGACAAGGAGACAAAGCTAAAATTCTCTTTTGTCCTGTACTTTTTCCCCTAGGAACCTGGAGAGTGAGCAGGCTGACCAAAAAACAATGCTGATACACACATGGGAGAAATAATCCTGGACATACAAATGCACTCTGTACAGGACCATGTGGCCCCCATTATGACCCTCAGAAAGGCATATTCACATCAGAACAGATGAACAAACAAACCACGGCAGAGCAAAGACAGGAGAAGGACCATTAGTATCCTGCCCAGCAAACGGGGTCCACGTTCAGATGAATACAAGAGTATCGTAAGGGAATTCTGGGTGTTACTCTTCCAGACATCCAGACCTAATTATAGTGAAATATTTCAGAGGTATAAGAACATATCTGTCAAAGTCAACATCAAGCCCAGACATGATTTTGGTGGTAGAGATAATGAAACTCAAAAAATGCTGTTCATAGTTTAGGTATTCAAGAAACCTAAGGTCCTCAAATAGAAAGGATCACACATGAGCCCTGGACTGCACTAGACAGTGCACCCCCACTCCAATCACATCCACCAGAAACCTGTGACTTTATTTAGAAATTAGGACTTTACAGATATAATCACATTAAGTCAATTGAGGAAGAGCCTAAATCCAATATATTTGGTGGCATCCTTATGAGAAGAGGTGTTGGGAGCCGCGTCTGTGATAGCTCGCCTTGCGCGGCGGACGTGCAGCCTGTGGTAAAGAGCAAAGCCTGAGGTAGATTACCCCTCCCATCGAATATGTTAGTTTCCTGCTTACCGCGTAAACAACCCGCTCAACAATATAGTCTGCCTGGCAACTGATGATGTTAGCCAATCAGCTTGCCTTGCTTACTTTAACATGATTGGACACTGTACCCGTATATATACCGGTGCCACCCCTGGGCGGAAGAAGAAGCCAGGTAGAAGCCCAGAAGTAAAAGCCCAAAAGGAGCCGCGGAGAGCGGACCGGTAGAGGCTTTGGGGCAGACTGAAGCACAAAAGGAGCCGCGGGGAGCGGACCAGAGGAGGCTTCAGCTGGGAGAACCCAGGGCAGGCTGTACGGAGAAGGAAAATAAAAAAAGAAAAGGTTGTCCACTACCAGACTTTGTCGTGTGTCCTTCCTGCCGGCCGGGAGCGGACATCGACAAAGAGGAAATTTAGACCTGGAGATACACATACGAGAAGGAGCCATGTGAAGACAGGCAGACTGGAGTTGGCTGCCGATAGACTGTGATCTCCTGGGGATCCCCAACTGTTGGATAAAGGCAAAGATTTCTTCCTAGTCCCCTCAGAGAGAATGTGGCCTTGCCAGCAACTTGGTTTTGAACTTCTGACCCTGAGCTATGAGAATTTATTTCTAACGTTTTAAGTTATTTCATTTGTGATACAGTCGATTCTCATTATTTGACGATTCTGTAATTCCAAAGTCTTCTGCTTGTTGAAATTCATCAATAGTCCTAAAATCAGCAGTCACAGAACTGTCAATTTCATTGATAGACATGGGAAAAATTCATACCATCTAGTGCAAATCTTTCTAAACTAAGGTCAAACAAGGCAATGTTCTATGTTTTTATTTCAGTTCTCATAACACAAAAAAGTATCCTTGCTGCAGCCTATTTTGTACCATGACTTCACTTTCTCATACTTTTTGTTGATGATTCTGCTGATAAAAATGACTCTCAAACTATTTTAGCATCAAAGTGCTATCTAGTTTCCCTAAGCACAAGAAAGCTGTTATATCCCTTACAGAGGAAACAGATGCTAGATTAACTTCAATCAGCTATGAGCTTATACTGCTATTGACTATGATTTCAATCTTAGTGAGTCAGCTGTATGTATATACACATATGTATGTGTATGTGATGTCCTTAAACAGAAGCAGACTTAAATGAAGATGACACATTGACAAGTTGTCAAAAAATGTGGCAGGATACTCTCAGAAACCTAGCTCCACATTTTCCGAAAGACCGTGATTCAGTATTCACTAACTTAACATTTATAACCACTTCAATAAAACATAATTACCATGAATAAATGAAATCAACTGCATTTTGTTACAGCAGCCTTAAGGAATGCAAAACAAACCCTTCACACTCACCTAGCATCTTAGAGGCTTCTTGTATGAGCTTCATGGTGATGGTGTCATCATACACTGTGTAGGTCATGAAAACATCTTGTACTTCTACAGAAACTCTGTAAGATGAATTAAGGTGCAGTTAACACTCTGCCACTAGAATTTAGCCTGGGAGTATATTCACAGATTCAGTCAGATATAGTAGAAACAATCTACTCCTGCTCACCAGAAATGTGAGACACTGGAGTATTTGGGTGTGAATTTCTACCAGGAGCCTTCCTCGGACCCCAGCTGGAGCCAAGAGTTCCCTTGTCAATTACTCTGAACAGACTCTGTGTTCTACAGCTTATATCAAGATTGTAGTCCCAGATGGGTATGGTGTCTCACACCTATACTCCCAGCACTCTGGGAGGTTGAGACAGGAGGATCACAAGTTCATGTCTACCCTTGGCAACTTAGTGACTTAGTGAGACCCAGTCTCAAAAGTTAAAAATAGCTGGGGATGTAGCTCCAATCAAAGTTACTGGGTTCAATTCCCAATACCACACAAAGAAAAGAACAAAGAATAATGTTATCAGGCTCATCCTCTATGCTAGGTTTCTTGAGGGTGGGCATTGTGACTTATTTTTATCTTTGAACGTCTAGAAAGTGCCAATGTGCTTGACACACGTATCTGCAGGGCCCTTGCACAGACTAGTGCCTCTTTGTCTACAGTCAAGGGTCACTGGGCTAGATGATCTCTTTATTTCCCTCTACCTAAAAGGTTTGGGTGCAGTGGTTTGTAAGCATTATCAGACACAGAAGATTCAGAGAAACCAGATATGGAGCTGAGAATAGGTTAGAATTCCTAGGTTTATGACTAGGAATATCACAAACCACCACTGCTCCTTTAAGTGAGAAGCTCTGTGCCATATTGGGGTTACTTGCATTGTGAAACATGCACCTTTCTTGTGTGACTATGAGCAAAATGGAGATGTAAGGGCAAGATCCCAATTCAAACCTGACATACCATCATAATTCACTGTGGAGACCCCAGCAAGGATGATGTGAACTCTGGGAATCTCTGGAATGTCACATACTCTGTGGCTCCCCTTAGCTCTCTGACGGGACCTCCAAATCATCCCCATCTATGTTGGGCAGCCTCTTTTTTTCACATACTGAACTGATGATACTTTAGTGTCAAATACTTATTTGAATTTATATATGTGCTGCATACTCTAGGGTTGCCTAACATGTTCAGAAAGTTAGGACCATCCTGGGATTTACAGCCTTGTTTGCTGATTTCTGTGACCTTGCATATGGCATTTTCCAGAGTCAATGTTTGCACTTGTAAAGTCTTCCATACTGCTGTGGTAAAACAATGTGCTCACCAAGAATTTATGTAAAAGGTAAACCAGTTGACATTTTCTAATAAGATAATAAAGATTCTGCTAAGAACAAGGGAAGGAGAGAAAAATAACTATCAGAAAATGTTCTAAAGTGTTTAGGAATTGGAAAACCACTAAGTGTGGATAGAAAAAGTTCTGTTAATGTTTCCAACTCACACAAAGTAAGCACAATTTCACACAGCATGAACAATGCCAGCCTCACAGGTACTTAAATCCACACATGCAGGGAACTGGGAGATCAATATTTACTTAGAACAACAAGGCATTAAATGTGTGTTCCTCTTTAGTTAGTTCCAACTAATGATACCCAGACTATCTGGGCAGGACACAAGAGACACTCCACACACATCAGAATAATTTAGAGAGTAAAACGGGTACAGAGATTTCTGAGCCCTTGGAGGTCAAGTGGTTAAAAACTTTAACCACTTAACCTCCTGACCCTCCAGGTTTGGAAGCCACTGTTTGGAAACATTTACTAGATGTAATCTAGCAAAGTGACAGATTATGAGTGCTAGATCCTACATTATTCTGCATTATTAAGCCAATGTGATGGTTCTTCCAAATTCAGAGGAAGTCTTAAAGCCCACAAGAAAAAAGTAAAGCACTTCGTAACAAATTTCAGGCCAAGGAAACGAGATCCATTTAAGTGATAGGAAATTGTCCTTTCAACAGCTCCCTTACTGTAGAAGAAGAATTCATGTCACAAACTTTCCTGCAGCTGTGTGACACAGATGTATTTGGGGACACCAGTGCCTACAGGGTGGAAGGGTTTGTCCTAGGGTTGTGACCATCTAGAAGTTAGAGAGAGCACCAGCCCGCCTTCCTTACTGGCCTTTCCTCAGCACCCCACAATTCCTTTACAGTCCAGATCCCCCGGCTGGATACCTGTAGCCCTCCATGCCCTAGCCCTTTCATCCCTGGCCATCTCCCCTACGCTCTACTCCACCAACTCTTCACACATCTGTTCTCGCAACCTGGCACAAGCTGTTCTCCACCTGCAAGTTTCTTACTCCCTGTTGTTCAGTTAACCGTATTCCTCCTTTATCACTTAGGCTCAGAATCATTGGCTCAGTCATTGGGTGTCACACAGTTACCCTCTGAGTCTCCCTCCAAGCCTCCCTGTGTCACCTAGCAAAGCACTGGTTGTGCAGATAACCTCCAATTATCTGTGTTTTCTTGTCTTTCCAAGTCTAAAGCTATGGAAATGGCATTTGCTTTCTCCTCCAATACCTAGCATGGTACCTGGCATACTACAGGATCCAGATCCATACCTGTGAGAGGATTTGGGAATTCAGATGAGAGAAGTGCACGTATTTACTGTGTGTGTGTCAAGAAAAAGCCTCAAAGTCAATCCTAGCCCTGCCAGTCTACCTGGGTGACTTGGAACAAATCACAGTGCCTCCACTTCCTCACCTTTACAATGATAGTAGTGGAATTAGTCAGAGGATGCATCATTCCTGACCATTGATTCACTGAGATAATCTGATACTCAAAGTGGTAGTTCTCAAAGTATGACCTACCAGATCCTTAAGTGTTTTTAAAGCTCTGTGAGGTAAAAGCTCATGAAGACATTGTTTGCCTTTTTTTTCACTGGCTGTTACTTGAGTTAATAGTCCAAAAGCATTGGTGAGTAAAACATAATTGACTTCTAATCATGAACTAAGGAAATCGCACCAAACAATTATATTTCTCATTATATTTTTTGATGGTCATATTCTTGTCACTACATAATACAGAAAAAAATTGCCAGTTTCACTATAGATTGTTCTTGTGGAATCAGTGATATTTATCTGCCTTAGTAAATATTGACCAGTACATATTTGTACTAGTACATATTGACTAGTACATACTGACTAGTACATATTTTTTAAACATTTTGTATGATGACATGAGAAACACAGAGACATGAAGTAATTCTGCTATATAAACAGCATAGACAGTCCAGGAAAAGCACTTGCATGATTGAGCTGAGCTGAATTAACCACTTTTTCTCATGAAAATACTTTCTACTTGGAAGGATGACAGAACTAATGGTTACTCAGACTTGGATAATTGGCAGAAATTTTCTTTAAGAAATGAACAAAGTTAGCGTGCCATTTCAAGGAAAATTACTGCCATAATGTGTTGTCAATGATAAACCTCAAGTTTTCAAATAAAAGCAAGAACTCACATCTGCCCCTGATAAGCTTCCCATTCACAGATCCATCTCTGCTCAGACTATGGCGATGATATTGGTAAATGAGGTTTTTGTGTTGGATAACAAGACATTTGTAATCAGCATTTGTAAGACCTGCAGGATCTGGTAAACTAATAGTTTCCCAAAGACTAATGTATGACAGTACAGAACAATGGGAAAAGATTTATTTCAAAGTGTAACACAGACCTCAGTATTTTAATACAACACACTATAAAGGTCATTGGTACCATTTCAGATTGAACACTGTATCTGTCCTATTTGTTCTGCTTTTGTAGGCCCCAAAGAAAATAGCCACAGTTATTTAAGAAGTGTATAAAGGTTTTCCCACCCACAATTCATTCATATATTTCAACCAAAAACAACACAACAGATAGAGTGCAAAAGATAGAATCCAGCTATTTTCCATTAAATTAAGCCATAAAGGGACTTTTAGAAATGTAAAACAATGTCCTCACTAAATAATATAGTTATTATCATTAAACTAGGATACTGGGCCAAGTGTGGTGGCACAGGCCTGTAATTCCAGCACATGAGAGATTGACACAGGAGGATTGCTGAGAGTTCAAGGCCAGCCTGGGCTACATAGTGAGTTCAAGGCCAGTCTGCAGCATGTAGGTAGTGAGATGTAGTCTCAAAAAATAAGTGATCAGTTTGAATTGGTTACTTATTCATAGCTGAACAGAGGAAGAGTGACATTGTAGCTACTCAGAGAAAATCAACTGAAAACATAAGTAACTAGAAGAAAGAGAGGGGCATATATCCCAAAACCAAAATCACTCTGAAAAAAGAGGTTTGTAGTTCAAAAAACATAGGCCTAGCACTTTACATTTTGTTTGTTTCTTTGGGATTTTTTGAGTATTTTAAAAATGTATTTAAAAGAAAAAAGACACAGAAAAGAAAAACAAAAAGCAAAGGAGACAAGCAAAAACAACAGCAAACCCAAAACAGTAACAGTATAAAGGTTTTCAAACAGATGACAGGAAGTGGTTGTAATATTGATTGTTATTACTTTCAAAAGTATTGCTTAGATTACCAGATATAGACATGCACAATTGATCTAATCATGAGTATTAACTGTTCTTTTCCAAGAACTGATAGAATTAGTAATACAGTCATCACAGCTATTATATATATATATATATATATATATATATATATATACACACACACACACACAAATTTATGTCTTTTTTTCCTTTTCCCTTCCTTCTTTCCTCCTTTCCCTGACCCCAATTATTTTGCTTCTTTAAGCATTTTATTATCCGTACACAATATTTATTTATTGTAGATTTTGGATCACATTTGCTCTTTCAGTTTCTTTAACTAGGGATACAATACTGTATTTACAAATGTGAGTTTGATTTATTTCACCCATGAGTATGGTCTTAAGTTGCATCCATTTACTTATAAAAGTCTCAATGCAATCTTTCTTTATAGCTGAATAGAATTCCATTGTATAAAAATACCACATTTTTTTTTTATTTAAGAGGAAAAAGAGAAAAACACAAAACAAACCAAAGCGGCGTAAGGGTAC